ATGTCAGCTGTTATTTGGAGTGTAACTAAAGCAAAAAAACAATTAGTTGGAAAAATAATGCTGTGAAATTATTTTAGTCCTTGCCAAGCTCAATACAGGAAGGCTACACAGATAAAGGTCAGTAAAAATAGTGTTCAAGCTTGTGGTTTATTTTCCGGCTCTACATAAGAAACGCTTCAACCACGAGTGATGGCAGTTCACTGATCATCATTTATAGATGTAAACTGGTTGTCTGTGTAAACGAACTGCTGCTGCTGCTCTAATCCAGCTGAGCACTCAAGACTCAGCTATTCACACACTGCTTTCTAAGCACCTTTATCAGACACTCACGTTTGGATGGAGGCGTCAGAAGAAATTTGGCGTTCAGTATCTTGCCTAAGAATACTTCAGCATGCAGACAAGAAGACACATTTAGAAGACAACCCACTGCATCACATGAGCCTCAGTCAGTGTTCACAGTGCACAGAGAGATCCTGCTGGTTGGCTGTTTATGCATTACTAATGTAGATTTGTTTTTGACATGCGTGTTTAAGGTTCGGTGCCCAGACTGACAGTGACTGATGGCAACATTTAGACTGAAAACCAAACAATGAAACTCTGAGAGACAAGGACGATTATCGACTCTGTCCACACAGTGGAAAATTTGTTCTTAATAGAGGAAACATCGTCTACATTACAGACCCAATCAGCAGGAGCGATGCTAAACACAGCAGCTGTGGTTTCCTGTTTGATGAAAACAGGTCGTCTGCCTTCATGTTCAGTCGTCATGTTACAGATACTAACTGAACTGAACCTTCAGCAGGTTTTGGACCTTTATGAGACAAATTGAAATCACAAACTTTCATCACTTTAATCCTGCAGGTTTGAAACTGTTTTCTATTATTAGAAAGATTCTTTGTGTATTTCAGGTAAGTGTGATGCTCATATGTAAATAACATCTTGTTTTGTTTCCTGTCCAACTGGCCAGCTTTGAGATGAAACCAGTCATTTTGAACCAGGACATGTCCTTTAATGCACATATTAAACAAATATGTAGGACTGCTTTCTTCCATCTGAGCAACATCTCTAAAATTAGAAATATCCTGTCTCAGAGTGATGCTGAAAAACAAGTTCATGCATTTATTACTTCTAGGCTCAAAATCGTTTTCTGTGCCTGTCATGAACAGCTGTGTGGCAGGCAGAGGCAAGACCCAAATGCAGGACTTGGAAACAAAGGGGTCGGCTAAAAGAGTCAGTGTTATTAATGTTAGAAGATACTCAGAAAGAAACATAAAAATACAAGAATATAAACAGGAAACGACGAAGGAAACACAGAACTCACAGACGAACACAGCAAAACAGGCACGAGGGAGACTGAGGACTTAAACACAGGGATGGGATTACAAACACAATGAGACAGAACACAGAGAAAACAGACAAACGCAGGTACGTGAGCGGAGAGACTGAAAGAATAACAAAGCACAGAGAAGAGGCTGGCACAGACTGGACACGAAGGAAATAAACATGAACAACATGAAATAGAGAATAAGAAATATAAATAATGACGACTCTGACAAATAAGGGAACCTGAGCTCAAGAGACACCAATAGAGAACCAGAACAAAGGTCATTGAAACAAGAGAACAAATAAACACATAGTCCATAACAAACACAAAAACTAGGTCAAAGACTGAGGACCATCACAGGACACTCTGTGTCAAACATGAGTGTTCATAAGTTCAGAGTATTGATCAGTTTGAAATGATGGAAGCAGCTCCTGAAAGTGACGACTCTTCACCTCGCAGTAGACCTTTGTCAGAGTTCAAGCTGCACAGACTCAAACCAGCAGCAGCTTCTTTAGTTCCCCGTCAATCCTGGTTCCTCAGGAGGAACTTGCTCCCACAATGACATCACTGTGTGAATGAATGGGAGTGAATGAAGAAAGGAGGAAGCTGATGACTGCCTGTAAATGTTCCCACGGTGACTGACAGAGTGAGACTGTCCACAGGAAGTCTGCAGGTCTGTCCTCAGCTTCCTGTTTACACTTCTTCTGTGGTGTCTGTGGTTCCTTTAGCTTCTGTAAAAATGGGACAGTTGAGTGTGCAGTCATGGGGCAGGTCACTAGAAGGGTGAGGCATTTATTGTCCTACCAACTTTAAAACCTAATTAAAATGTATATGTATGTAACAAATATATGAAACTTTAAACCTAATTTTTACACTGAAGCTTAAAGAGAAAAAAGTTAATGATGGATTGCATTTATATAACACTTTTCTAGGTACACAAAGTACAGTTCCACAGTCACTCTCACACACTGGTGGAGGCAGCTATAGTTGCAGCCACAGCTGCCCGGGGGCAGACTGACAGAAGCGAGGCTGCCATATCGCGCCATCGGCCCCTCTGGCCAACACCAGTAGGGGGTAGGGGAAGTGTCTTGCCCAAGGACACAACGACCAGGACAGAGAGAGCAGGAGGGATCGAACCGGCAACCTTCCAGTTACAGAGGAGCTTCCCAATCCCCTGAACCACGGTTGCCCCGACAGCTCAGCATGTAATAACACTGGGACATGAGTCATATAGGTGCAGCCTGCCTACCTGTGTTCTCAGGGGTCTGAGTGATGATGTCAGCATTGGTCATGTGTGTTTTTGGGATGACATCATCAAGACAAGAACATGCCAATGAGTGACTGAATATCCTGGATTTATTTTCAACTCACTGAACTTGGATTTCCCATCAAACCTGTTTGCCTGCTGAACTGAATTCAAATATATATTGTTTTCATTTAATAATAATCCTGCAGAAAAATCTTAATTCTTATGAAGACGTTGTGAGGGGCTTCATGAATCTCTCTCTGAAAAAGAACTCATGTTGTTTCACTTTAAACACTAGTCACACAAAGAGATGAAGACAAGAAACAAAGTTAAGAACATCTTTTGCTGTGTGGTAACTTTACATCTTCCTTTGTTCAGTCCTGTATCTCAGCACTGCTGACATGCACTCTCTCTACTCTCAGACACTGTTTACCTCTACAGAGTCCACAACATTCAAATAGCTGCTAGACTGATCTTAAACACATAAAACACTTCATGGTTTATGTGTTTTACCTTTGATCATTTCCCACTGATCTCAACAAAGAAGCTCCATCACAGAGAGCTTCTCTCAGCAGTTAACCACACCAGCAGCACCTGTTTTGATGTGGGTGAATATGAACTACTGACTCAGGTGACTTCACTATTTATGTGCTTTTACATCTGATTACTGCTACTACTGTGTATAACCCTCAGATTTACATGGCAATAAAAGAAATAATATGGTCACTGAACTAGCTTCTCCTGCTAGTCCCAAAAACGTGACTCAAAGTGAGAGCTGGCTGGGCTTTTTCAGCTGTAGCCTAAACTGTGGAAGCATCACCCTGCCCTCGTTAGTTCAGCCCACTCACTGCCTGTCTTTAAATAATGTCTTAAAATGTGTTTTTGCTCCTCAGATTAGAGTCAGAACGAGAGCAGCACATTCTCACCTTGTACTGGTTGTTATTTTCCTAATTTTGCTGGTTTGCTGGTTTGTAGAGTATTTTTATTAAACTGTCCAACGTGTGCTTCTCCGATTTATTTTTGAAAAGATACATCTGGATTAAAAACAAACCAAATCTGCTCAGATTATTTTTAATCTTCAGTTCAGGCCGACTGCTCCTGTTACACTGTGTCATACACACAAACCTGAATTGACTCCCATCAAACACCGATCATATCTGTTTAAGCTGCAGGATTTCCTGTCTCTCCCTCAGTGCCACGTCTCTCTCTGCTGACTGCCTCATGTTATAAACACTGAACTGACCAACGAAACCAC